GGGGGGGGGGGGGGTTGATTAAATAATTATAACCTGTAGGTGGGTTGGGCCGATCTATGAGCAGGACTTCCTGGGCGCGTGACAGGAGTAACATGGAACATGTTTGAAGCAGTAAGGGCGAAATGCGATTGTGCTTACACCTGTCTCGGGATGACTCCGTCCCTTTTTATTTCCACCTTGACGTCTTTTCACAGTAGGGTATCACTGTTATTATTTCGTTTCGTTTCTTTATTATTTCGTTTGATAGCCAAGATATTTTAACCCTGGTTGTAACCAATGTGCCAGGCTCAGTACCGCCATTTTTAACGCGATATATCTTACACTACTCTTACTGCTTTCAAGTAGTTACGATTTTTCCAGGTATCAAATCCCGCCAAGGCGCCTGCTTGCGGAACCACAAGTGCCATGTCGTGAACTGTCTTGAGTGACATTGACAGCACCCTAATGTCTCACACAAAATACTTGACATGCAAACAACAGAGCTCTTCCCTGGGTTGCGTCTTGCTCCTTGAGAAATGTAGAACAACGGTGTCCAGTTCGGCTTTCCTGTTCGTTTGGTTTACATTGGCTATGATTGCGCGAGATGGTTAGGGCTACCAACTGAAGCTCATATGGTGAGACGAAATACCACAGGGGAGATAGTATAGTCCTGTGTAGGCTATTGGATACAATAGTGCGATTGGCTATGGGAATTCGCTCAGGTGTTGATCCAGACGTTAACCTCGCAGACGAAGTGCACCATCGCAGCGCGCCTTCGCCGCAACTCATCTCTTGTTTCCTCCGTATCTTCATCGAGAACAGGTTCCTGCCAGCAGGGCATGCTGAGCCGATCAATCGGTTTGTATACGAAGTACGTGACTTATTCAAGTTTATTTAGCTGTTAAACCTCCTCATCACTAGATTTATCATCGAAGTTCGTTCTACTGACAATTCCCGCAGTTCCTTCAAGATATCAGTAGTTAAATTCAAGTGGTCATGTTTTTTTGGAAGATGGTAACCAAAATTATCATCCACAAAGCAGTACTGCACGTACCGCAGCATTTTACACTCTTCAATTTACCGACAAAAGAATGTCACGTCGTCGCCAATGGCGTCTCAGCTGGATAGAAGCTTTTCAGGCTTTGAAAGTTCAAGCGTTCATTTCGTTAGCAATACCGCCATCTGAAAAAAAATAGAACTACCCAACTTAGTTAATTTATCAACCATTTCTAGCTCCTCAGGTGTTGTAACGGGGCCTGTTATTGAACCCTAACATTAACCGTCTAATGTGCGCTGTCTGCAGGTGGTGTTGATATGTGTGAAGGTATTGATCCCTCCAACTTAGCTCCTAAGTGGCTCATATCTTAGTACAAGCTTTTATTAACACCTCATTTTTAAAGCTTAGAAGCGATGTGGTACATCTTGGAATCTCTTTGTTCATAGTGTGCTTGGTTTGTTTTTAGTAGACCATACCTATCCTTCTACTACTATAGTTGCCTTCCCATCGCGCTTTATCATTTTAGATACCATCCGCAGTATGGTGCGCGCCCTCGTCCTCTGATCATGGTTCTGCTGCAGACCATGCTCACTGTGGCTACGCAGTACAAGACAGTAGCCATCTCAAATGCACTGAACTCTGACTTTCTCAATCTACTTCTACGGGGCGTAGCTGTTGATCCCGATCCAGCTATTCGTATCATAGTCCAAAAGATTCTACATACTCTGATAGATCGTCATGGTAATGCCGAACGCTTGCTTAAAGTGGAGTAAGTTTCCCTAGTTCGAATTTTTCCCTCCGAGGGGGATCAGTATCCATTGTTTTTGCCTTCATTGAGTGGTGGTAGCTTTTACCAAGCCAGTTTTCGATTGCAGCGAAGTTGCTGGCTGATTTTGCCGCTTAAGTCCTCTAGAATGCGTGTGCTTTTTATATTCCTTCCTCATTCACTTTTTGTGGTTAGGCTAATCGAAAACTGCTCCATTGATCGATTTTTATCCGGCGAACTACCGCTTTTTAAGGGAACGTTTTCGCTATGTTTTGGACGAGGTTAGTGAACCTTCGTTGATGTGGGGTGAATCTTTCTACATATCCAGGATCCGATATGCACCTTAGATTTCTGTACAATTTCCTTATCGTACGAATCTGTGAGAAGTAAGCCCGGACGCAACTATTTCTCCAAACTCGACAGCTACTCGTTGTCTTGTGAAGGTACAACAATGTTTAGGTGGTAATTTATTATGATATCACCAGTTACCATTTCTTGTGTATTATGCAGTTGTCTTCTCAAGGGAGGATTTACAACAACCTATTTGGATGCAAAAAGAGGAAAACCCCATGATTCATAGCTCACTAAATACGGTAACACATCACCAATACTTACACAAACATCAACCCAGATGCTGAGCATAGTAGAACAAAAGAGCCCTTTTGAAGAACTTTGCATGTGATGTTACATGACCCAATCCCGGTGCTACGACTCTTTAGTTACATGAGGTTGGTGAACGTTAGTAAAGGCGTCGCTGTCTTAGCCCACCTTGATCGTGTGCAATTGTGCAACGTGTTGGCTTCATAGGTCATGTGCACAAATTGGGGGTCAAGTATGTCGTTGGAGTAGCATCCATCACCAGGTGTATGGTGTGTGCGGTATGAAAGCACTGTGGGACAGCGGTATTCTGGAGGCGAGTTCCAAACCATTTTTGTGGACACAAACGAGAGGAAACCTCATCAATAAACATGGTGAAACATACCACCGATAATCAAAATAGCAAGCCCCATGCACTGCAACTGTGACTGTTTATGTGAACAGATTTACTTCTGATTTTTTATTAAGCGTTTGTATGTAAATCAGCCTATATTTCACTTCATTTGACTGCAACGTTCTGGTTAGGTTTAACTATTTTAATGCTCCATCACTCTGTCCACTACGTAGTTATGTGTACAGCACTATTTCGAGTTCACATCACTCTGGTCCAAACATTTCTTTCCCCTCCCTGTGCGACTTTCTTAATAAATACACATCAAGTACAGGAAGCCCTCTGGATCCACAAGGGCAGTTGTGGTAGCGTTGGAGAAGAATAGTATAAACGAGAATGATGTGAATACAAATTCAGTAGGTCATGCCACTACTTCCTGGTATTCCATTATTTTTTAGGCACTGAGGCACACGACCTCAGGCCCTGAAGTTAGGTTGTTCTGTTGTTGCTGTCCAAGTTCTGAATCCTGATCAATAACAGGCAGAAACTGAGACAGGAGAAACGTTTTTCGAATTTTATTGGAAATTCATCCTAGATATATCCCTGCTTTTTCACGCATGTCAATTTAACTGCCCGTGAACAAAGTGTGTCATTTCGAATTACTCTGTGAAGACTTCCATCTTTTGTGGGAAGATTTCTAAACTTCGTGGTTTCATGTTGTGGCGGGCATGTCTCCTCAGCTCTGGCTGAAGGTTCACACCAGTTGATCGAAGGCCAAAAAAATCGTTATATTCCGTCAGTCAGCTCATTCTGGCCATGGTGAAGAACAGCCTATCAAACGTTCAAGTTTGACTCACTTACCCTGACTGAACAACTTCACATGTGAAAGTTTTAGGCCCGATTGGAACTGCACGGCTGCTAAACATGTTGAGGCTGGAATCATGTGAATCCTCACAAAACGTTGAAATAACTTTTCTCATTTCTGGAACCAGTTACGATTTATTTCAAAGGTTGCTCACCAGGTGCTTGCACGCACACATCACTCTCGTTTGAACAATCGTCCTGCTGCCCTGGCGCAATCTTTCTGATGAGTTCACACCAAAGGGGAGGGAAATCACTGGACTGGAGTTTCGCTCCTATTATAGAGCCTTCAGTATTGATGGTTTTTCATTTGCCAACCCAAAAAAAAACAATCTATTCGGTTTGTTGAACACTGCAGCAGTGGAGCAGCTTTGTGGCGTTTTCTTCTGTGTTCCCGCTTAGGAGCGCTAACCAGGCCGTCGTTTGCTTTGATTGTGCTTGTTTGACAAGTCTCTCCCATCACCAGTTCCATTGCACAGCAATAGCCAACAAATCGAAATAATCATGAGTATGTTCAAGTCTTTGGTTGTGCCACTGATACTCTGTACAGCTGTCGCAGTTTGCGGAAGGTTGTGACTTCGTATGCCGGAAATTTGAAGCTCCTGAACTTTTCTCCTTGCAACTTCTAAACAAATTGCTCATGACCATCGTTGGAGAGATCCAATCCGCTTTACAAAAAACCTTTTTCACTGTTTTTATTTAGGTTCTTGGACATTCCGTGCATTAATTTCCATTAGTATCACAGGACTCTTACCATAACAATTTAGGTCTGCGTTATGCTGCTCAAGTCGTGTATAGGCTGGTGTATAGGCTGGACTGTCACTATCATTTCTCATCCGTCACAATAGTACCCCCTTATTCCCACTACGTGGTTAACTTTGGGAAATCACTAGCGAAGAAGCAAAACCTTATCAGCGTGAAAGAATTTCTGTACCTCAACTACTCATTGAGCTACTCATTGCTGTTAGATCTCAGTCCGATATCTGTGACCTCCTTCCCAATTTGTTCTGACAAATATGGTTGCCTAAAATGAACTTCTATATTCGCTACTTGGTGGTCAGACATTTGAGCCGAAGTTCTCGGTAATCTAATCGTCCAAACGTCTGCGGCTGAGCATCCTTGCAGCATGTCAGTTTCTACACAACCAAACAAACCAAATTTGGGTCACGTCAACATTCTTGTGGTGACATCAGCCCGCTCATACGGTGAGGAACATAAGCAAAAATGTGCGACTGCCGTCATGCCCATTTTCTACTGATAGTTATCTCTCAACTCCTCCTTTGTTGGAGTTAACAATCAGTCTTTGGTGGATCCCGGTCCTAGATACCTCAGTCGGGCACCCAAAGAAATGGCCAACTTCACTCCATTGCGCAAATCCTCTGCTTCGTATCCATAACTCAAACCTTGGCTATATCTATTGCACTGTTCAATGTCCGGACTCCTAGGAAAATTTGTCTGTCTTCCTACTGATGCCATCGTAGAATACACACTTAAAGAGACAGTGAACCATGGTGTCGAAGTAACATTCAGGAGGAGGTTGATACTTTTGACAGTGCAGGTTACATTATCTAGCCATTAGTCCGCACAGTTTGCGGTAAATAGAACACCCCTTGTCGTGACCCTTGCTTATGCAAACGGCGAGGCCTTGTTCCAAGATCTTGGCTCTCTTTGTATTACTCTGAAACTTGAGCTTGTCGACTGGTGTACATATGAAGGCAGATGTACAAGCTGTAACTATCCTCTGACGCATTAAGTCAATGCACACGTCAGCAAGGCGCGTGCAACATCTGGCTAATTGCATCGCTTATGACGTCGAGGACTAATTCCGCCTAGCTAAAGAACTGTATATACAGAACAGCCGTGATGGCTGTCTTGTCGGATGGTTGCCAAACGTAAACCCTCCTATCCGAAGACTATAAACATCTTCAAAAGTCTAAACACAGTAGTTCCGTAGTATAGCGGCTGTTAGGTGGCTGTGGAATTTCGCAACGAAACTTTGCGTAAGTGAATATTTAGTCATACATCAGCGTCACTTCTGTAGTAAACGAACCTGACCACGTTAAGGTAGTCGATACACGTACCACCAATGCCAGACTACCATTCAGAGAAGTTATATTTTTCCAAACTTCTGTTAACGACTAACTTGCGAGGGAGAGGTAGTGACATGTGCGTACGAAACTGGTTGTTTCGGCGTCTTTACACCCTTCTGTTCTGGATCCATGTGATTCTCGCACATGGCCGGAAACGCTATGGGACATGGCACCGGAGCAATCCCTGCTGGCAATTAGTACCTGGATAGTGATGAAACTGATGAGGAACCTTTTTATCGAGCAATTTCACAATCGAGGCGATTTGTCTCTCTAGTTCATTCTTTTACTCGTTAGGTTCGACTGTATGCATGCTTAAACTTGTTGCACTCGTTCAGTCTATTCGACGGATATACACGCTGAGTGCTGGACAGAAGGTGGCATTTCTTCATGTGTTTGGCTGAGGTATGTTCGTCTGAACACCCTTGGTCGTAATTGAGGAAAGTGAACAGTTCATACTTGATGCACGGGGAAATGATATCCGTGGGGCGAATTTCGTTTATATTTTAGAGTTACGCCTTATGATACCCATATATAAATCGTAAAACGGGCTGAAAAGGCATTATGAATCCTCTATAGAGTGTTACTTGTTTTATTTTGGATTGAGAAAACAAGTGATCCTCGCTGTTCCAGCTGCCACTTTAGGCCACTGCCATTAGACCTCTTTCATGTCATGACGCTCAGTTGTTGTATCTGCGATGTTGCGATAGGAACTATTCCTTATTGAGCTACTTGAAAGCGTTTTCTGGGATGTAACCTACACTAAAAGGGGGGTTTCCATCACAATAAGGGGCAATTTAGTTAACACGTTGTTGCAAACTCTTTCGGTTTTTCGACCGGGACATTCATTTTCGCTGACGTGGGACTCATTTGCATTTTTGTTGCAAAATGAGCAAACTAAATATAACTCACATTCAGAACCAAGTGAAAAGGGTTAACTATAAGTGTTTCGAAGGATTGAGCTTGTGAATCTCTGATCCGCACTCGCTTTTTAAGACTGATTTATTCCCAAAGGGAGTGCCCCTCGGTTGGGAACCACTGATGTAATTTACAGGGTTCCATAAACCTCGAGAACCGCTATTCAGCTGCCGAGCTCGGTTCCTTTTTCAGATTGTTTTGGTGCCTATTCCGCGGTCATTCAACAGTACCGTTTCTTTAGGGATTCGAAACGCCCTTCAGTGAACTCGTATGCTACTATGTTGAATTGTGTACCTTTAGAGTTCGAATGTTGCGTTTAGATAAAAACGTAGCTTTTTTGCATCAACGCTCTATTATTTTGCTTCCTCGTAGACAAGATACGTGAGTTCTGTGTACTTTGAGTTTGCCGTGGATTCATTCTCAAATGATGAATGGTGTTTTGATAAAAGTACATTTTTAATAATGTGACGTGTCAGTATGCAATCATTATGTGAATGATGAGGTGATTACTTTCTCAGGAGTTTCCAAAAACCGTGGCTGGCTAATGGAGAACTGTTCGATTAAAAGGTTGCACCACATTCGTATTTGCATAAACTACAGCAATACCCGGTAAAACTTAGCCACATAGGACCCTATGTCCCTATTAGGGCTACCTAGCCCGAGAAACATAACATGACCCCTCGGTTAGTCATTACCCCGAACGATTCACACAGCTGGTTAATCTCAGTTAGGCTCAAAATTCGATTTATATTATCTATGGACTTATTGGGATTTTTCAGGTGAGGTTTTACAAACATTTGTTATGTTCCCAAGCATTTTAAAGCGACAGTTTGCGGATGGTTTCCAACATTTCCCTTAAGGCTCCTGATGGCCTGGTGGTTCAGACGCACTTAGTAACCGGAAAATTCGTGGCTTTTTCGAGTTTTGGATAACCTTTCAGTATACCAGCCCTTGTATATCCTTCACATTTCGCCGTAGCTAGTTGCTGAACTTGTTTTACAGTTGAACTTTTATTATTTTTTATAGCTTTTTTCCCGGTTGCTTATCTGTTTTTAGGAGCCTAGTCCAATTCCAAACCCATGGGTTCGTACTTAACAGATCCTTCGCGAAGATCCATCTATATAAGCCAAGAATTGCTGGCTGTTCACTAGTAGTCAACTGATTGCTTAGGTAGATCAGCATACACTGAAAACCAGTTCACTTACCAACAGCAATTCACTTTTGGACAGAAAGCACACAAGACCGAACGAAATAGTCGTCTGCTTTCGGTATCTTCTCCGAAGGAGGTTTACTCTTTTTGGCTGCCCGAAAATCTGATACACCGGCAACAGAGCATGTTGCTTACTTCTTCCTGTGGCCATCTATCTCGTTGGAAATCTTTTGTACCCCGACCTCATTCGCCCCGTCAATTTCTCTCCGAACCGCATCATCTCACTAACTACCACTATTTGCCATTCTAATTTCGCAATGCCGGTCCACTTCATCGGTGGCCTCATCCCTGGACTCCTTCTTGTCTTTTTTAGTCTCCTAACATGCACCTCCAAATTAAGCCGGCGGATTTGTACTGACTCACTTATAGTCGCGTCGGTAATCAACGAACATTCTGCAATCTTGTTGAATCCCATAGATCTGTCCGTGGCTTTATGGTTAGCTTTATGTTTACAACATACAGATTATTAGGACGGTCAGGCACACCACCGTCCCTATCGAACACTATTTTTTTAGAAGCTGATTTGTGTGCAGTCTCAGTTTATCCGCTGAAGATTCACATGTTGGTCAAATTAGAACAACTTAAACGGAGCATGACTGAAGCTGCAGTTGTGTCATTCTGAATTGGCCTCCGAGATGCATGCAGTCACGGTCTGAGATCATGATGCTAGATTTTGCTTAGCTAGCTCTGGTAAAATAGGATAGTATAAAGACTAATATTAAAACATTATTTCAATTCAAGATCCAACACTGTCGGTGCTGGGTTGAGGTAACCCCGCGAAGCCGGGTCACGTACTTATATCTCCCTCCGTTAGTGGTTCTCGTCAAGAGAAATCTGTCCATCTAACTGGTTGGTTAACTATTATACTCTCAGGAGGCACTACTGCGCTTAGTACTCCCGGATAGCACTCATTTAATACGCATCTCAAAAGGTTCTCGTTTAGGGCACCTCATTTTTGTTGTATCAAGCGGACTCACTTTGGTCCAGCTATTTTTGTTTGTTTGTTTGTTTTTCGGCGGTCGGGATGGCCCAAGTGGTAAGAGCGCGAATTTACTGACCGGTAGGTTCGTGGTTCGAACCCGACCTCCACCTCTCGACTTCCGCTGTCTAGGCTTGGGTAACCTGGCAGTATCCCAGCCCTCATGCAACCTTCGAGTGACATGGCAGTTAGGCACCGAAAGGGTGCTACAGCTGGACGACGGTCGGTTTACCAGGGTTTCATGATGACCAACACAGCATCTATGCTGATACTCTCATTCTTGAGTTTCCGCTTCTCCATATATGGCTGGTTTGGGCCAAGAGACGAGTATCTTGAATTGTTGTTTACTGAATGTTTATCTTGTTGGACCCGAACGATTTTAACAACCCTTTGATTACCAGTTGGCGAACTTAATAGACCACAGACGCTATATTGGTTCTTACTAACAGCTTACTGTTACTGCAGTTTCACACTCGACTTCCATCAGTTTACCCGTGATCCTATTATTCCGACTTGGTTCCATATATTACCTGGATGAGGTGTTGTTTTCGTTCTTTATCGATTTCCTAGCGTACTGTCGTTTCATTGTCACATGTTGAAGGTTCTTATTCATTAGTTGCGTACACTGTGTGCCACCTTAATCCGTTCACCTTAAAGAACTACGCAACCGTACTTGTGCACTGAACACCAATGCTGTCCAAGTACCGTGAGCTATTCTGGCTACTTCATTTGGAGTATTTGGTTTATCGGTTAGCCCACTTTTGTTTTGATCTACCTGGCATCTTGTATGCGGTGTGTGAAATTCCAGGGCTTCACTCTGTTGTTGTATAGTTCAAGGCCATATATTTGCACCGCTACTAGGAACTAGTCACGCAAAAAGTGTGTTCCATGCTCTTAGTACGGTTACGGTGAATATGTAGTGGCATTTTCCTGGTAATAAGTATTATGGGATCGAATATACCCTCATCTTACTGCTAAGTACACGTTAGGTTTCTCCGCTATGTTGTCTCTGTTTAATTTTGTCACTGATTACTACGCTTACCTCTTCCTTGAGTTTCCTCTCCTTTCGCACAGCTTTGCACACGTTTTTCTCTTCTCGTGTTCAGCCCTGCTCGACCTGCCTATTTTCTACCGCACTGCATGTCGGTTTATGATTCCTTATTCTCAGTCATGTGTCGTACAGTCAATTTATTTTCCTCGATAATTTCCTCCCACGATGTCTTTCGACAACTGTTCACTACCTCGATTGGTTTATATTCGCTCGACATCTTTCATTTGTGATTGGTACCATCCATAGGGTAATTTCACATTACACAAATCTATTTTACTGTAAGCGTTCATCCCATTTTTTCGCGTTATTTGGTATGGATCCTCACTTAACCATACTCCCTCCTCTCTTCCTGTTCTCTCTCTACAGTACATACATTGACAAACCTTTGGACAGCTATTTTGTATGGGAAGAACCTTCCAGACAAGATATCCTGTTTATGAAACAAGTAAGCAGTTGGCTGCTCGAGGCTTTGTTTCCAATCCTAATTTGTGTAAACCTTCTTGGGTACATTGGACGTTTGCAGGTAGCAACCGATTTTCGCTTTCTTCATTATCCGATTGGGGACACTTAATCTGGCAGAATGTACCGTAGACTTCAGCTATCGTTCGAGAGCTAACGAATATGGACTTAACTACTCAAATTTATTCTTATACAAACATTTTTTACCATGCATTTTCATGTCTTGTTTGAGGGATGGTTGTCGTGCTGTAGTCAGTTTTGGCACAGTTTCCCAATTATCCGTCCTCTGTATTGTAGTATTAAACACCCACTTCCACTCGGTTCCAAATGGAATTACTGATTCCGCACTAGTTTAACTGAAGTTTCAAAGCGCTCCTGATGCCCTGAAAACGGAAGTAACTGGACATCCACACAAGCACTGAAGAATTCGCCTTTGTTGATCGATCACTGTTGGACTTCGCACTGATGTTCGGTTGTACACACTGCAGCCTACTCAGATTTCTGGCCCCACAAGTTTCATAGTTCATAGTTTGACTCTTTGTGTCCTCAGACAATTGCACTCGTTATTTTCAGTTCCTAATTCTTTCTAACCCCAGACCGGTGTGTTATTCACGGAAAATATTTATCATCAACTTTTGGACTCGAGCAATAAGGTGGATTGCTTGGAACACTTGTTCTGTACAGTTGGATTGGTCGCCCTCGAGATGGGTGCCGATCAAGTAAGTGCCAGGTTTTGCCTTTTTCCCTGGAGTATGCATCTGATGCGCACTTAGCACGTACAATCTGGTTTGATCATGCCAGCATGACCACGTACATCACATCGTGCCCACCATCGTTGCCGACGGGCTGGATGATCCGATACTGCACGTGTGAAGGAAGCTTCGAAAAGGCACCTGATAAATAAACTAGGTTTGATCTGGGTGCATCTGTAAAGCAGTCCATTGACTATCCAGACCTCGGATTCTAATTCCCACTGGCCTTTAATAAGCTTTCAGCTTTTTTTAGCGTGAGTCTCTACCAAGTACTAGCCAATTATAGCTGTAGTTACGAATGTCAACATTTATGGAGAGCGGTGCAAAAATGGGAATTCCCTTTTTTGGTGGAAGGTGTCGAGAGTACATGCGATCACCCCAGAATCCAAGTTCCCAGTTGTAATCAGATTTGTCAACCGGAGCGAATCTGGCATGCCACCAACTACGATATCCCGCAGGAAGGCTGAACTGAGTCACCAAAGCTTTCACTCAGCTGCTTGACCTACCTGTCTCGATTTCACGTTTCTGATTAGTTGGAAACTACGCCTTTCATTACAGTTCCTCATTTGTTGGGCCTAGATTTGAACGTATCTAATGGTAAGATCCATTTTCCTCACACCGGGCTCACGGATTAACAACCAGCTGAAAATGATTGCTGCCAGAGTTGGCCCATAAAGTTTTTACAGCATATGGTGGATTCTGGACTTACTTGCCTCAGCTTTCTATACATCGCTGAACACACGGTAGACTATGGCCACCATTTTCGGAAGGTTATTCTGGAGATAGTGGGCGCAAAGGTAATTAACCTGAAACTTATGACCTCGTAAGGGGAATACCACGAAACCTATAGCGCTCAGAACAAGTAAAGCCTGAAATTACAACCACAGTCGGTGATGGTGGACTCATCTGTCGTCTCGAGGGTCACAGGCCCAGTTCAAGTGAGTGCGCCCAATGATGTCAACAAGGTTCTGTCACTCGCCAACGAATCAGTGGTTGAAGTTCCGTTATTTCATGATAGACGAATTCACAACGGTCGACTCCGATTGATGTACATTCGTTCGGAGCTCAAATATAATCTCTGTAAGGCTTGCCGCATGTTGCTTGAGTTTTCAATTGAAAGTGACGGATATTAGAAAGTTCAACTACATGAATAATTCCGACATTATAGGGGCTCATCGGATGAAGGATAAACATTTATATATTGAAGGCTTAACCATCGTTGATCAGACCTGTTTAATCAGTGACATTTCAGTTCAGTTCACCCTCGCATTCTAATGACCTACTACCGGGGTTCGTTTTCTGCTATCTCAAATCTTTCCTCTCACTGTTTTAGGTTATTAGTGAACTTTTCCGACTGACTTTGGCCGTGCAGGAGAAGATATGCGACGAACCGCCAGTCCTTCCTCTGCCACACAGATGCGCTCTACATGCACTATTGGCCGGTGCCATCTCACTACTAGTTCAACTGGCCGATCTACCGGATCTGCGAACTCATGTCAAAGAGGTAAGTTTTTTGTCCTTCAGTGTATTTCACGAAGTTGTCGCTGCACATGTCAACCGCAAGCACAGCTTTCATTTTCCGCAAACCGACTCAAGCCTCAACGCACCAAACAGTTCCTAATGTAATGTAATTTTTACGTCTGCTGTTCCGGTTATGTTACCCATCTGAGCAAGATGCCATCAGACAAACCATTTCCCGCCACTAGTTCAAACTTCATGTCCTGCGCCTACTCTGGTTAAACCTAAAGCATACATTGCTTATCCATAACACATCCGTGGTTAGTGTGTTCCAATATTCGTGAATGTTTTGTAAGCTACTCGGGCCCTGTTTATTAGGACTAATGCACATTTGCCAGCCGAAGTCAAATTTGGAGTAGAGATTGCCAACCTCACCAGTCAGGACCGGTTGTCCCAGCCTTTGTTGATGACCCCAACCGTCAGTTAGTTACACTGTCACTTGAAGACATGTGTACTCGCCTTCAGCTGTGCTCAACACGGAACATCCTGTGAATCGAGAAACTGTCTTCTATGTTGTTTGCTGCCTTCCACCAGAGGTCAATACCAGTTTGGCAGTATATATTAGCCGCCACCAAGGGAGCCCCTTTTAGGTTGTTGAAACGCAGCCTGTGTTCACGAAGGAAACGTACACCAGTGCTTGCGTTACATTGGCCTTCGGTCGCTAGTCGAACAAGCCATTCTATTGGCTGCTGAAGCTTCGACACAAGCCATTTGTGAGTCAATCCACTTTATGCATGCGTCTCCGTCAGCTTCACATTAGTTTAGATGTATTGAAAACTAGTGTTTGCCGTTTCCATTCAACCAGTATTCACCAGTGTAAAATAAAATTGATTCGAGCCAGTATGTTGATTTGTTCCGGCAACCCAACTTTACATGACCTTTACCGCACTTTTTGGGTCTAAACATTCTCTCAGGGTAAAAGTCGTCTAAAAAATAGACGGACACTGTTTTTTTGGTGTTTTGGTTAGTCGAATCAGCAGCCATGACGACTAGGCTGGTAGATGTCGGGCTGACCTCACCGGGTCACTCGGTGAGCTAGCGTAACAACTCTGTGTATCCTAGTCTTGCAAGTTACAGTTACTGGTACAGTGCTCTTGACTATGTTATTACGATCGAGGTCGGCCACATTATCTGGCTTTTATTCGTCTGTCAATTGGCATGGCGACAAATCAATGATGAATGTGCACCTTACTCTGTCTCTGTTCACTTTTTGTCCCAAAAATGAGTGGAAACTGCATGTTGGTAGTGGTAAATAGGAGGACCAACGTGCCACAAAAAGTCACTGGTGTGGTTTGGATGTCATCCAACAAGCGAAAACCAAACATCATTGGAGAAAATATCGTGACTATCTGTCCTGGAAGGAAAATTAATGATATTGAAATTTCGGAAGTATCGGTAGCACTTGGTTCCTAATGATTGGTAAGTTTCATTGATAACCGAAATAATCAGTCGTTATTGATAAGCACCAAGTGCCTGGCCGGCACTGGGCACATGTGGACATTGGTTTCAAATCCACCCCAAGTGTCACAGGAAATATACTCTTTCAAGGACGTGATGTTAGGTCGATGTTCCCCAAGGCAGTAAGGTGACTGGTGAAAGAAACGGCATCCGCGGGTCTATAGCATTTCAAAAATAGACGATTGAGATTTGCATGTTAAGGGGCAGTAGAGATACACAGTGTGTAGGAAACGATCTGGTCGCAGCGAACATCTGAAAGAAGGGCACCGTAGCACAAAGCATTAACCTCACCTTAACCAGGCGTACGATCAGCTAGAGTATCCGCCTCTGTGAGATGGCTTGTGGCGGTTCACCTCTACCCGCTTCCCTGATTCTGTACTGTACGCGGTAATTCGTACGGTTTTGTGTGAGCTTCATCTGCACTTACCTTTCTAGTGAGTTGCGTCCTTCCATTCAATCAGCATACCCGTATGGACGCCAGCCCTTGTGTCGGAATGTTGTTCACATGTAGTACCATCAGTCAAGACATAAACGACACTCATTTTGTCTCTCTCAAAATCAACCGATTCGATTGTATGGAACGGTTAACTGTGATTTAATTCGGGGTCCTTGTGGATAGTGTTTCTCGTTGCCATTGAAAACCTTTTGGTGTGTTCGATCTTTTTACTTTGCTGATTGGATTCCATAGAATTAGTGAAACAGAGCTCGCAGGCTGTGTTGATGTTGCGCATGGTTCGAGTGTGAGCGTATCGTTTGTCTAGGCCGTTTATCAATGGCTACGTGCACAATTCCAAAGTCCCTCCCCACGTTGGTAGCTGTTAGGGCACCTCGGAAACTGTTATATCATTTTGTCCACGTTTAATATGGACGGTAATTTTAGAATTAGAAGTTCTGCACAACCCATACAAATTAAGGGGCTTAAACGGAAACAGTCGATACATCATAGGTCGTCATTAAAACGAGGATTTTCTCGTTTCAAGTAAGTGTATTGTGTTGGTTCGGAATCAGAAATGACCTGCGCAAGCGCACAAAAAACATCGTGCTTCTCTGCCACAATCACCCTGCATGCACATAACTTTTTTCCGCCAAGTACTACTTTCGCCGTTCGGATAATATGACTATCGTACTCGTCAGTATAAGAATGATAGAGCGCCATCTCCAGGAGCGTGGTCCTGTCATCGTAAAGAAATTGACTGCGCAAACGCAGAATAATTTAAGAACGTGGTGGTTACCCAGTGGAACTAAGTTACAGAACAGCAAACATTAGCATACCCCACACGATGACCGTACACGGAGGACTGTTAGATAGGGAGGTCACCCTATTCCGTTCTTAATGTTCCCGCACGTTCTGCCACTTTTAACTTCACACCGGCTATGTCCTTACCTAGTCGGTCTCAGGCAATATACCAGGAGTGACGTAACGGGGTTGTGTTTTGAATACTTCTGACGTATGTTAAGCCAGTAGCTCCCATATTTGTGAACGCGCAGCTGTTTACTTATTGGATAGAAGACCTGAGATACAAACAACTAAATTGTCCACAAGCTCCTTTCGATAAATTTTTCGGCGGATAATGGGGCGTGGTTCGATCATATCGCTGTTGGCGTCGGTAATAAGTATTCCTCAGCATGTGGTCTCGTTATTATTCCACCCTCGTTTTCATACTTGCCAAAATTGATCTTCTAGTCTACCTTTCTAGTCGCATTGAAACGGTCAAAAAGGTATTCACTTTGGAACGAAAAGTGCCTGGTTCAAATGAACCACGGATTGTGCCGTTTCACTCTTGGAATCTCATGCTGACAGTTCGGTCGCTAGTGTTGATCTGGCGTTTGCCCGAGGGTTGCAGTCTGGCATCATGACACCGGAGCAAATCCTTCACTCTTCCAATACATTTCTACAATAATGAAATTTTGTCTCCCGACGCTGTCGTAAGGTAGCCCATCATGTGCCCTCCAACCGAAAGCCATACCATCAAAGTCGGAAAGATGCAGCGTCTGTTTACTCGCTGGGTCGTGGAAGAATCTGTACAAAGGAGCAGTCTAGATGCAGATGTTGGTTCGAACCACGGACCTTCAAGTCAATAAATTCGCGGTTTAACCACTGAGGTCTTCGTCGTAATCTCGTTTTAACGGAGCTCGACAAGTGTCCCCGTCGCCTGGAATACACCGTCTTCGAGCACCTAAGTCGAGATCATAATCAAGGACTGACCAAAATCCTTTGGTATACACTTTGCACTCATGCAGTCATTGATCACGCCACTTACAATCCTGGAAAAGACACTCAAAGTTGTGGAACGTTTTTACGTACCTTGGAAGTTGTATTATTTCTTACTGTAGTGTGACAGACGAAGTCGATGCAGGGATCTGCAAGGTTCGCGTTTGCTTATTTGAGACACTTATGACGTTAAAGCAATATATCCTTGAGTCTCAAGGGACGGGTGTATTAGGCTACAGTGCGGGCTGTTTTTTGTAAGGCTGTGGGCCTTGATCTATTCGAACAGCGGAACTGAGAAATCTTCAGGTGTTCGGCAATCGTTGTCTCAGGACCATAGCTCGTGTGGGTTGGTATCAGCGAATCCGCTTCGAGGTAATTAGAAAGCGAGTTTTCGGTTGTGCAACGGGGACTTCCATTGATGTGTCCAGCGGCAGAAGCCGAACCATCGTTTGCCAAAGAGAGTGCTGTTTTCTATGTCCACTTCAGAGTGATGAAAGCAGAGAGGTGGCCCACCCTTGAGTTGGCAGAGGTGTATGAGACAGATTAAGAAATGTCTGGGTATTGTCGGTGTTACTCGCCTTGTAGGATGGACACCGCGATATCCCCTCCATCTGGTTGGAGCGCTGCAAGATATGGCTGCTAATCGATGTCAATGGCGTTCGTGTTGTCAGTTTCTATTCAGATTGTTTGAGTGTATGTCTGAAGGTGTAGGCACTTCGGAATGAGTGTAGCACCTTTATTCATTTCTTCGCAACGCGCCGTCGATGGATGATGATGATGATGATGATGATGATGATGACGATGATGATGATGATGATTTGAAATAAGTCATGGTTGTACGGCAGCGAAGCATCGGTATTGAGCACTGATATCATTCTGTCCAAGATGATGTTGATCAAGCCGGATCTGATCGCTGTTTTGAGCGCGGAGCAACTCTGATAAACCTTAACATGGTCTCGGATGGGCGCGCGGTATTTGTGTGGAATGAGAAGAAGCAGAGATATGGTGCTGATAATCGTCCCCTCAACTTCATTTCAGCCGGATGATTTTTGGGTTCATCAACCGATGATCATTTCATATCGGGGGATCTGCTTTTCTCAATCTGCCAGCGGTGTTGTTGGACTGGAACTTTCTAAGATAGCAGTCATTGAATTGTGTTTGCTGACCATTTTGGGTTGTACGTACTGCCGACGCTTTTGTACAAGGCGCTGGGTGTCCATTCTTACCATGTGCTCTTACAACTGACTCAGTATGACGGACACCTTGTGCCTGTCGTACGCCTTGAAAGGCGTTTAGCATTGTTTTTTTCTTTTTTC